TCTGTCAGAGGAAACCGGAGTACCCAGAGAAAACCCACACAAGCACAAGAAGAACATGCAAACTCCACACAGAAAAACCCCAGTTCCATCCAGGGATTGAACCCAGGACCTTCTTGCTGTGAAGCAACAGTGCTAACCATTGATCCCATTGTGCTGCGTCAATCCATCCATCCATCCATCCATCATCCATCCATCCATCCATCCATGACCCATCCATATACACATACACTGTACATACATATATACATGCATACTTACAGCACATACTCTATATATACAGTCTCCATTTAAAATATTGGTGTAGCGATACCTGCATTTATAAAACCCACCACAGTGCATGTGTTTGACAGTGGTTGTTCACCAAACTAATCTAGAATGGGGTGCAGATTTGCATACTGAGTCTGTTTGCAGAACATACGGTCTCAAGTCAGGTAAAACAATCATTAGGTCAATCATTGACCTTCAACACAAGTCACTCTGGTATCAAGTTGTCTTATGAGCCCCCTTTGGATTGATGTTTGTTGACAACATCAGTTGACATGATGTTTGTTATAGACGTCCATGACAAGCACAGGAGTCCAGTATCAACTCACTCATTTTCAGATTCTTTCAAAACAGCCCTCTCCAGGTCCAACAGTCATTGCCAACATGGGCATTGAAGTCAACCAGTAAGTCAATGGAGTACATAAAAGAGACCCTTCCCAAGATGCCAACCCCCACCACTAACCACGCTTAGATGGCCAATTACTGTACAGTTATCAGAACTGCTGGTGGGTGTGGAACAAACAAAATGGTAAATGGTAAGTGGACTGTATTTATATAGCGTCTTTCTATCTAATCAAGATACTCAAAGTGCTTTACGGCATAATCTGTGCCCTCATTTACCTCCACACACACATTCATACAGCACTCTACTACATCTCTACAAAGATAATCTGAACAAATCATTCTAAAGAGACTCATCAGAGCTTTAGATCCCATTCATACGCCGATGGGACACACATCAGAGGCCATGAGAGGTTCAGTGTCCACTGTAACCACTCATCCACAGCCCCAAACAACAGTCAGCCATTGTTGTTTTCCATCATCATTTGGCTATGCCAGCCATCCTGGACTGGGTGAACTCCAAAACTTAATCAATTGTAGATGTTCACTGAAATTAAATTTCCCAAAGGTTTCATTAAAATCCATCCAGATGTGCAAGATATAGTTTTCAAAATATCTCGTAAAACTGTACACGGACAAAAAATTGTCTTCAAAATGTTAAAGGCACATTTTTAATGAAGATTTTGTACAAGTGGGCAGCACGGTGGTGCAGTGGGTAGAGCTGCTGCCTCTCAGTGAGCAGGTTACCCTGGCTCAAATCCAGGTCCGGGGGTGTTTCTGTGTGGAGTTTGCATGTTCTCTGCATGGGTTTTCTGATTGGTGACTCTAAATCACTTGTGTCAAACTCAAGGCCCGGGGGCCAAATATGGCCCTTGTTGACATCTTATCTGGCCACAAGAAGTTATGTTAAACTTAAAATACTATTATCACTTTAATTTTTTTCAGTAATTTTTGATTATGATGTCAAAAGTGCAGCAGGGAACATCAAATGAGACCAATCGAACTGTTGGTGAGGAACCTGCAACCAAGAAAAGATGTTGAGTATCTAACTTCACTTAATGTAGATTCTGAAATCGGCCCTTAGTTTGAAAAAGCTTTTAATTTTGGCCCCGTTTGTAAATGAGTTTGACACCCCACTCTAAATTGTCCCTAGGTGAGAGAGAGACTGAATGGTTGTTTGTCTCGTTTGTCTCTGTATGTCCCTGTGATGGACTGGTGACCTGTCCAGGTGTCCCTGTGATGGACTGGAGACCTGTCCAGGTGTCCCTGTGATGGACTAGAGACCTGTCCAGGTGTCCCTGTGATGGACTAGAGACCTGTCCAGGTGTCCCTGTGATGGACT